GTTCTCTCTCTCTCCTCCTAGTCCTGGTGGTGTACATCCTGCAATCGTCTCTCGATCGGCAGCGCTCTCTCCGTATCCTTGCCTCTCATGTGGCTCTCTACAATGCGCCTCTCTTAAATTGGTCTTCGCTTGACGCTCGTCTCTCCGACCGCTCTCACCTCCCTCCTCCCTCTCTCTCTCTCTCTCTCTCTCTCTCTCCGGGGACCTCTCTCTCGACGGGCCCCCCTCCCGCAGCGCTTTCTCCGATATCACCTGCCAACCAGTGCCCGCACGGCCTTTCCTGGAAACCGTCTTTTACTTGTTCCCCCCAACCTCACTTTGCAGGTTTCCTTCACTCTTACCTGTCTTGTCTCCTGTCGTCGCTCCCCCCCCTCTCCGTCTCAACTTCACGCCTCTCCTCGCTTGTGGCTCCGGGTCCTGCTTCGCCCAGCCTCAGGGGATGGGACACTCGCAGGGAGGGAGGGGCAGACGCGGCAATTTTTCATGATTCTCTTAATACGTGATAGCGTAACCTGCGGCGGGTGGGAGAAGTTCCTCTCGAAGAAAGCCAGCCGCCTTCTCGATTTCAGGAGTCTGCACCCAGTTTATATCAAATGCAGAGAACTCTAGAACGCGATTGAGGCGTGGTAAGTTAATCAAGAGGTACATCAGGTCAAGAATGCATTAATAAACCCTGCGCCATTTTTATATCATGTTAAACGATTCAATTTCTTATTTCTGTATAATTCTTTTTTATTTAAACCTTTCTTGTAGGGTTGTTATACGCAGTACTACTTAAGTACGTTTTATGACATTACTAAACCAATTAAATTTTTTGTATCACCAGTGTTCACCAATGAACTCTGGGTGAATTCATTTTTTCGTAATTTACGCGTCTAACTTTAATTCCTTCTTTTACATATTTAACATATTTTTAATAACTCTAATTGTCTGACAATTTTCAATAATGAACAAATAAAAACATACACACAAACATTTAGAAAATGGACATATTTTTACTTTATTGACGATTTTAACAGTTCGTTTTTCACTATCTCCGCTTAATTAACACAACTAATCTACATATTACATTCAAAGTTAATTTCAAGATACACTGGTCGCTGAAGCTTCGGCTTGTAGAAAAAACTACATACAAAGAAAATTCTTATGTCTTACGGCGCGTGAAAGGAAGTTTCATCATCATACGTCTCAATATGTTAACATTGCGAATTATGTTAAGGAAAACGTACCGCATTGATTCCGTAAGATAACGGGTCATTCAGGCTGCTTACTATCGAATCAGCGTACTGCTTTGCACTTCATGCCGTAGTACATCATACACAGTTGTTACTGTTTTTAACGTTTAAAACAAAAATCAATGAAGTAAAAATATATAAAATAAATAAATAAATAAATATAAAGGAATTAGGAATAAATAAAATAAAATAGATAAATTAAAAATAAACTAATTAAAATTAAATCAATCAAAGTAATACAAAACATAGAAATTGCAGTGGGATCATACATTCGCGTCTCGCGTTGGCCGCATACAGTAAAATGCCAAAACCTCGATGGAGCATGAGCCCGCACCGCGCGCACTCGCCGTATTCTATTAATACATGAATGGCTCACAATTTGAATCACAGCGAAATTTTAAATCAAACCCGGTGGAAAACAAAATGCATGAATACGCCCGCAAAACCACAATACTCTGATTATGAAACAAAGAGATTCACGGTTATTCACATTACCCTGCTAATTGAGACCGCAGCGCGAGGCGCGGGGACGGAGGGCGAGGAGGGCCGGGGGGGGGGTGAGGGCAGTAGAGGGAGAGGAGGAGGAGGAGTGGAGAGGGAAAAGGGACGAGGTTGCAGAATGAAGGACGGGGGGTTAGGAAGGACGGCAAGAAGGGGAAGAGGAGGACGGGTGGGGGAAGGGTTTAAGAATGAGGCGGAGGAGGTAGGTCAGCGAGTGAGGAGAGACGAGTAGAGACAAAGGGTGATAGAATGAAGGAATGTAAAAGGAAGCCTGGGGAGGGAGAAAGAAGGGCAACTGAGAGATCCGGGGAGGGAAAAAAGGGAGGAAAAATATATTAAAAATGGGAAAAGAAAATTAGAAAATGGAGGAGGATGGAATGGGATGCATGGGACTAAGAGGATGGGATTAAGAGGTAAAGGTCGAGAAATGGGGGTGAGGTGAGAGAAAAATTGGTAAGAGGAGGTAGATGGAAGAATGTATGAGGAGAGAGAAGGGAATGGAGGACCAGAAGAAGGAGGCACGGAGACGGAGAAGGAAAGATTAAAGAGTGAAAACGGGTGTGAGGAGACAAAAACAAGGATCTTTGAGAGAAAAGGAAGGATGGAGGGAAGGAAGACATGACCAGTAGAATGATGGAGAAGATTGGAGGGAGAAAAATTAGTGACGAGCTGGAGCAAGAGGGAAGAGTTGGAATGTGAAGAAATGAGGCGGAAATGTGTTAAAATAGAACGGGGTGGAATAAAAAGGGGAATGGAGAAATATGATGAGATGGACGAGAAGAAACGATGAAGGAGAGAGAGAAGCAAACGCAGGTGAAAGAAAGAGAGGTAAAGAAGATAAAGAGAAGGCCAGAGGTTGAGAAGGAATAATAGTGAAAGAGAAGTAGGACATGGCGTGTGGGACAAGAAGGGAACGACAACAAGAAGCTATGAGTTATGAGAAATAGTAAGAGAGAATACGAGGTACGGAGAGGGGCGAAGAGTGACAAGTAACGACTAGCATATCGAATAGTAAAAAAGAAAGACAAGAAACTAGAAAGAACAGAGAGAGGGGATTGGCGGGAAGGAGTCATATCACAATGAGAGTCGGGTCGCGGCTAGGTGTACAGAGACGAAGAGGGTTAAAACGGGTATGAGATAGACGAAGCGAGGGAAGGTGGGGTGAAGCAGTAGGTCCTGGGACAGTGGAAGTGCATCTCTGCTCTCAAGAGGAAAAAAATCGGCTCTGAAAATAACTCGACGCCAGCGCCGGCCGTAGCTTTTTCCGCTGCGCGCGGGACAATGGAAGGCGACGACTGGAAGGCGGGGCTTCGTTTTTTCAGAAGTGCAAATTAGCTTCTATGATGTCGGGGTCGGCGCGGCTGGGTGCAACGCCGGGGAAGTTCCAGCACGAATTTCTAGGCCTCCTGTTGATTAGTCGATAAAAAATATAGGACGGGAGGTCGATGTTCGTTTTTTCGCTCCGATAGCAAGCAATATCGCCTGACATTTTGCAGAAGACCGAGAGTATTCTGGTCGTGAAGCAGATTTATACTCTACTTCCGGCATTCCTGTTTGTTAACGATGATTTAAGCGGAAACAACTAGTTATACTACAACTAGTTAACTCGATATATTTGCTTCCATATTATCTTTTGCTCGTTGCCAGGAACGTAATTCAAAGTAATTCAGTTGCATTATGCACTTCTAACACCATTACTGAAGTTCTGTGGTTAAACAACAATCTTGAATGGTATCATGCCTCATTAAATATTGTATCGACAACGACTCTACAACAATCAAATTCAGTTAGAGTCCATCTACACTCTTATCGTGTATTATCATAAAATGTACTTATTTTTCTATTTTGTATAACCTCCTTCACCACTTCATGTTCCTCATTCTCACACATTGGCCACCGTATATTCTTTGACTAACATGTTACGTTCCTTCTTTCATATCACCCTCGGATGTAACATTCCAATGAATCCTGAACTCTTTGCTCAGATAATATTCCCTATCTCAATCTCTCTCTTTCTCCCTCTCTCTCTTTCTCCCTATCTCTCCCCCTATCTCTCCCCTCCTCTCTCCATGTCGCTCTCCATCTGTCTGTCCTCTTCCTGTCTCCCATCTTTCCCCTTCTCTCTCTCATCTTTCTCCCTCTCTACCCCTCAATCTCCTCCTACCCCTCTCCCATCTCTCTCCCTCGCTCTCCTTTCTTCTCCTCTCTCGTATTTCACCCTCTCTCTCCGCTTCGCCTCTGGCATCCCTTTCCCTTCCCAGCGCCGTCGGGTCTTGCAGAGGCGGCTTGGAAAGCGAGGAGTAGCGCGGAGCGGACAGACGCACCCCCTAATTGCATTATTCGCCACTCGGCAGCGCTGCGCACCGCGCATACCGAGGCGCGAGAAGTCCGTTCGCCCCCGCCCGCCCCCAGCCCCGCGGCTACGTGTTACGTATGCTGATTGCCACGACCCGCGCGGCGAAAAAGCGTATCATCGCGAGCGAGCCGCACTTGGGCAACGATCGCTGCCCCCCTGTCATTTCTCGTACAGCCATTTCCACTGCCGCCGCTACCACCGCCGCTTGGCGGTGGAAATGGCTATACGAGAAACACCACCGTTTCTGAATTACAGGCTCACCATGCTGTGCCTCCACAGTCGCTGCACCTCCCTACTCGCTGCGCTGTTGTGTCAATCTCCAGATCCACAATCTCTACCCCTACCTCCACAATCTCTACCCACTCGAGTATTCCTTACCCACCCGAGAATTCTCTACTCCCTCGAGTATTCCGACCCACTCCTCCATCCCACTCATTCCAATATTGCCCACTGGATTATCAAACTTCACTTGCTAGATAGCTATGTTGTGTTCAGTCGCTGTGTGGATGAGCCCAGCGTCCGGTTGTTCCGAATAAAAGATCTCTATTTCGTGCGATCTTTCCTTCTTTCTTGTCCTACCCTCATCCCTAACACACTCACACTCATATGCTCATACAACACATGCCGGAAGATCGGTCGGGACCTTTAAGCAGTCCTGGCTGGGGCGATGTCTCGGTGCTGGGGGATACCTGGTTGGAAAAACCCGCTCGCCGACGATAGATCGAAACGCGTCCCATCATCTAGCGGGGGAAGTCCTCTCGAAGGAAAGACATGCACTACACTTACGAAACTAACAACCATGACCCAGAATCGCCAATCAATCAATTTAAAAGAATTGACTTCCTCGTCCATACGATTGCACTATTTCCGAATGCAGACTTCCACATTCTAGCCTTTGGGTGCATCGCATGCCTCAATTTCACGGCAAACAAGACCCCACGCGCACCTCTGTTCCCGTCCTCTGCGGCGACCGGAGCGAGCTGGACGGCACCGGGCCGAGGCGGAGGGGGGAGGGGCCTGGCGCGGGCAGGTGACACCTTTCTCCCCCTCGCAGGCTCTCGGGCCGTCCCTCGGCGCCGGCGGTGCCCGGACGTCCGCCAATATTTGCACACCGCACACGCCGCGCCGCTCGGACGTCCTGAGCGCGCTTGCGGACTCCGCCACGCCCCCCTCTGCCCGCTTACCCTCCGCCGCTTTGCGTCCAGCTCCGGCAGCGGTTCAACCACGCTCCACCACGCCCCACCCCACTCGCCCAGCCCCACCTCGCTCCTCTCCTGCCCAGCCCCGCCGCGCACCACCTCGGGTCCCGCTGCCGCATCCCCGCACGGCCCTTTCCCCCGCCACCCCTCCCAACCGCCTCTTCCCTGCCCACCCTCTCCTGCTCATCCCTTCCGGTCCCGCCCGTCCCGCCCCGCCCCATCTCGTCCATCCGCCCCCCCATACGCGCGCCCACGCCCATCCACTCCACTCGGCCATCCCGCGCCCCGCCCCACAGACCACGTTGCCGCTTCCGCCGCCCGCCCGCCCGCGCGGCCGCGCCCCGGCCACGACCCAACGTCCGCTCCGGCTCCCCCACCCTGCCTCACATAGCCCAACGCGCTCAGCCACCCCCGCTCTGCCCCACCCAGCCCCGCGCCTCGCCGAGCCGGCCCGTTTATTCCCTCCGCCCTAATTCGGAATCGGCGCAAACGACTGCTCATTAACTCGGGATTCTTATTAGATTTTTTCGCCACCTGCTATCTCCTGCCGGAAGAGGGGGTGCCGCGCCCGGCAATCTACTTTTGTCTCTCGGCGTCGTCGACTAATGGATGTAGAAATATGCGCTGGGAGGAAATGTGGAGTCGTAGGAATTCGCTAGCGTCGACAAGACAGAAGGGTTGTACCTCGTTAATTTCGAATTGGTGATGTGATTTGCATGTTCATTCCGTAACCTGATTGGTGGGTACAGGACTGTTAGAGATAAAGACATCAAATGTGAGATAAAATTGAGTGATTCTTACTGACAAGATGTAAATAGGATTACATAAAATAGAGTAACATACTTGTAAAGTAGAAATAATATAAAATACATTGTAATTGTAGAAACGCATATCATTTTTTATTGTTGCCCATATATTTTCAAATGTCATTATATTTTTAATTGTATTCATGGACATTTAACAATGTTAACTTATTTATTTTTACTGATACGTTATTGCTTGTAATTTCATTCGATACGGAGTTCGACGTACATTGAATTACTTACTTAGATCGAGTGTATCGTGATTACGAGAGAAATGTGAAAACAGTTGAATCGGGTTACATGTTCTCTTATGGAGGTAATTATGGATGGAAATTATAGGAGGGAAATATGAAAAGACTAACCAAGACAAGTAATTAGTAAATTAGTAAATTAGTAAATAGGTGAACCTAAATCATTAAAATTACTTAAAAGAAGTGGTCAAAATTGAGCAATATGAGAAACTTTCAAACGATATTTTCTCCAAAACAGCTCCAAATGTTTCAAAAAATGGGGTAGGGCAAAAGCGATGAGCTATAGACACCAACGAGATTAGGAAAGTATCTAGTACAAGAAAGTCTGCCATTCTGTAGTACCAATAGTTACTGTTGTGTTTTAATACGACTTACGCGAAACACTATTTTTCGTGTTTGTCTTCCATCGTGTGAAAAACAACCATTTTTTTCATTCTAACTAATAATGTACGAAACAAAACGAAGAGTGCGCGCAACATCACGAAGGTTCCCGAAACACGTTTTGCGCACGGCATGTTAACAAATAGTAGAAGCAACACGTCCTCCGAATGATTCGCAGACTAGACTTTTGTGTCAGTCACGGGCGACAAACTCGTTTCGTGCGCTAATCACTTGTTTCGTGTGCTTCCTACGTAACTTACTACGACTTCATTGTTGTTTTAGTATTTATTATATTACTGTTACAGATATTTATTTTTAAACATATATTATTTTTTCATTTTTTTACTGATTCAACTATTTCTTTTTAAAGATATCTGGAAAATATATTTCCATATTCATAAAAGTAATGAACTATGTGGTCCCTATTACATCAAAATATTAGTATTTATATATGAACAATATAGTGGAGATCTGCCTATGAAGAAGTAGTACCAAGCGACCTGTCGCCTCAATCTGACTTTGTTATATACAACGAAGCAGCTACTACAGCCAGGACAATCATTTTTGTTGACCAGTTATAAACATGACATTGAACACAATGTATGACGAGAGTGTTTGTTCCCTTTGTGAATTCTACAAAGTGTCTTTTGTGTCCAGGAAGAATGTGGTTCAGCCCAGACGCGCAGCGGCCGTCCAACTGCCGTCCGGCTTGTTTGGACTTCGGCAACTGCAGTCGACGTGAGTAGCCTTCTTTCCCTTTTCGAGGCGGCGCACATTGTTTTTAGGAGACCCAATTCGTCCAATTATCAATGAAAGAGCTTCACTTACCAAGTGCTGTAATTATTCCTACAATAATTGAAGGTTCGCCATGTTGTCTTGTTTCTACGTAGTTCGTGCGAGTCGCGTCTTTTAAATCCCACGCTACTCTTACGTATTCTCGTCAAGGTGGTTCTGCTATATAAATAAGCATAACGTTTGCCTATTGTGTGAAAGTAGTTGACGGTACAGGTGGTAATGAAGGTATAAAAATATTTTTTTCATTTACAATACAGCGTTAACAACACTACTTCGTCGTTAAATAATTACAGAATGCTTTCTGAGTATTCACACAACTGTAGTAAAGAAGATGGATTCTATTGTGTTGTCTTATTGTGTAAAGAAATGAAACGAGTATCTTCTATAACTGTTGTATTAATTTTATATTTTTGGCAGCGTAATTAACTTTTATTTCATAATGTATTAAACATCTTCACTCGTGAAGAAAAATGGTTTTCAGTAAATGATAATTTGTAATTTGTAATCAGTAAATGATATTTTATCCGTTATTCGCTTTAGATATTATCCCAATGTCGAAATTTGTCTTTCCTAATGATTGAAACTAAAATTGTTCTCAGACTTCTCAATAAAAGTACATGTTAAATGTAAGTATGTATAGTGTGTTTTTGAAGCTTTCAATCCTGTCACTTTAAAATTGCAATATAATAAATGATGATTATTTTTCATAAAAGCTTTTCTAAAAAATGCACCTTTTTCTTTCAACTTTGAAATCAAAATTGTGATCTAAAAATATGGAAATGGTTCGTGTAAAAACTCTGCTATCCAAAAACGTAGGCACATCACTGTCAAAACTAGACGATTCTTAGAATAAAATCGATTAATCTGTGCAGTATGCGGAGTGTAAAAGTAAGTGTAAAAGATTTTCTATTTAAATTCTCTTGCAATATCCCTCGCTTACTCTCCAGACTGCATCAAAATAGATCCATCTTCATAATTAAGAAAATACGACATTTATACTTCATAATTTTCTTCTCCTACAGGTAGAACGGAGTAATTTTATATTCCGATCTTTTGATAAGGGTATATGAGCTGGTCCCTATTTAATCCATTTGTGTCACTTTACATTGGAGTTTGAGAATACTTATAATGATTGGAGGGATATACTAACATGAGAAAAGGATTTATGAGATTATCTAATTTTTGCAAAATGGATAAGAAATGCACAAGATGTTTCTTATGTGAGGAAGGAGTGGTAGGTTTAAATCAAGCTCATATAAACTTTCATTTGCCACTTGAAGAAGGTCAAAATAAAATATGTATGATAATTTTGTTATATAAATTATGAATATACTGCAAATTTATTCACATATGGGTATTGTTGGTTTGGTTACTCACAAACCACGGAGCATTAAAAAAATGTACAGAAATTTGTTACGAAAAAACTGAAGCTTATGAAATGTTTGAGAAGCATTTATTCAAACAGGACAGGAGTAAGGAACTAGAGATATGTCCTTGTGAATTAAAGTAGGCGACACTCCTGAGTGGACAGCGATATCAAGGATAAACAGGAAGAACCATTTGAGAAAAGTTTGAAAAGAAACACCAGGATGGCTGTTGACTGTTGTCTGGAAGGGTTTATTCAGACAGAGTAGGGACTACGCGTTTCGTAGTGCGTTAACTAGAGCTGCGCGTTCGTAGTGTATTAACGCAGGCGCGTTGCGGGTTCATTTCGTGTTTGAGTGTGGCCGGGCCGGTGAGCGGACCCAGCCGCCTCTTCACGGGCGCGAAGCCCTGGCGGCGGCGCAACACAAAGCTCTTTGCACTCCATTGGGCAGCATTCACCTGGTGAATAAAATCGCATGAGCGGTTTTGCGAATGAATACAAGTCATTTAGTTTGGGAGAGTGGACATATTATGTAGGCAGTGCGTCTGGCTAGGTGGAAATTAAATCCTTTAAAAAAGTTTTCCCATATAGGGGACGACGCGGCGAGATGGTGGCGAGAGAAGAGAGGGAGAAGGTAAAGGGATTTAAATCATTTGAATGAATATATAAGAGCATGAAGATTCTGGCTGTGTCAAAATTGTCAAGTTGCGAGTTTTTGTTGAGAAATAATCTACAGTATTAATTAAAGACGTGCAAATGTGCAATAATACGTACGATCATCAATAATATCATGCACATTTGTCGAATATGGTCCAAAACAGTATAATTTCTAAGTTTTTTATCTTTGTTCTCCTTCCATTGACAATAAATGCAAAACTGAGAAAAATAGTCAGTGAAATAATCATCGATGTAGAACCGAAATCGAAAAATATTTTGTTTTGCTAACTATTAATAAATAAAAGAAAACAACCAAAATTAATCCTTGGCACATTTTTTACAGAGGTAAATTTAAATTTACATTAACAATCACTGTCATTATGATCTTGAATGTCAGCAAATACGATCTTTAATGTAAATAATTAAATTTATTGATCTGGGCTATCGGATTGTTTATGGCCAAATAACCAACAAATGGTAGCGATAATTAATCTGCTCTGAAACTTTATTTTTTATTGCATGAAATTTGAGGAATGATGAAGACCGATGCTCTTTAAAGTCGAAAAACGTGGTTTAAATGAATTGCATAGTGAATCTGTTTCAAAAACCTTTTAATAATTTCTTCAGTAGTTTGACATAAATCAACAAACATAGCAACACATACACGAGGACAAAGTGTATGAATGCAAATGTGTTAATTTTTCTGTGCATTTTCAGAAGTTTTATGTACGTCTCCTCGTTACCGTGGTATTTAACAAACTTTTTAATTCTACGAGAGCCACTTTTAAATTTGCCAACCGCTAACTAAGCACGAATCTCTCGAACAACACATACGTAGCGCACGCCTTTTTCCGGTACATGCTCATCTTCGCGAAAACGAAGCATGATAAGCACGTTATTCTTTCATCAAGCACTTTATTCGCCGCTTCCCGCGTCTGGCGAGAGTTGTCAGAGAACTAAGCTCGTTACTCTGCGAGTTTTACGAGTGTTTTCGACAATTTAAAAAATTCAGAGGTCGGCCTACTCCTTGTGAAGTCGTTCCCGCTCCCTTCGGCCTTCTAATCCGGTGCTGATGAGGGGCGGAGCCACTGTCGGCACCCTCCGGCCCCGTGGGAGATGCACGCCCCCTCCCCCCTCCTCGTGCAGCCTCACCGCAGGAGTGTGGGTTCCCCCACCTCCGTCCCGAATAATTCTCCTCCACCAACTCCCTTGTCTCGTCTTTGGTCTTTTGCCGCAAGCGTTTTGAGTTTGTATTCCTTTGCTCTTCTGTTTGATCCCATGTGTCTCCGTCAATATTTGATTTTCTTCTTCTCTGTCTCTTTCCCTTCCTTTATTACTTTCTCCTTCCATTCTTCCTTTCCCTCGACCTTCAATCTGCAACTAAAAATGTTTCTTAGTCCACTATTATGGCTTCTTGTTCTTATTTTTTCCTCAGTCTTTTTATTATTTGAGATCGCATCAACTTCTGGGTCACTAGCGACCACTATTGCGTGTAACTGTGAGGATGATACGATATGATGATAGGGAGTGAAAGGACGAACACAATACAACAATTCCCGAGGCGAGACTCAAAGTCCCGCGATCCTTCGGTCCGAGATCGCTACGGCACGACTGCTTTAACGATCTCGGCCATCCGCCCTCATGTTTTTGCATTATAATTTTACCTATTTCTCTCCCCTCTTGTCTGTTTACTTCAGTAATTGGAATCACTTGTCCCTATTACTTTATCTGACCTCTCTCTTTTACCCCTGGTGACTACCTCTACGTCATCTCGGCGAACTTTACTTCCGTCATTCACGGCGTTTCTTCTAAACGTAACCACTTTTCATTCATAAAATATATGTATTAATCAATTAACTAAAATCCCTGATGCGTAGGAATAAATGTTACAAATGTCGAGGGCGTGATGGATTTCAAGTTAATCAAGTTAATTTTTTTGAGAAGTAATATGCAGTGAAAATTTCATACAACGAGCATATAACATGTCATTTCCCCCCCATTCTTTGGCAATCTATACTGCTTTTGGGCTTGACTGGAATGCGAAAGATTTTTGCGTTAGAACGTGACCTGCCAAACTAATGCTTGATGGGTTGCCTTCAAAATAAATGCAAATATCTCGTGTGCAACCTTGTTAAATTGAATTTCAAGCGCAGTTTTATTGGGAAAACGTGATCATTTGTTACCGTTCTCCTCTTGCCCTGGAAGTTCTAACATTTATTTTAAGATATCAGTATCTTAGTTTGAAATATTTGTTCTAGACTAACTGGCAAACGGATAGGAATGTCATTAAATAGATGTCAAACTATTTGAAGAAATTTCCTAATTAAAATCAAAAAATCCCTCATGGAATCAAAATGTCAATATAACGCAAGGTGTGTTACACATCACCGCACCAGTTAAGATTCATCTCTTTGTAGTCTCTCCCTCCTCTCTCTGAGTTTCCCACGTTTATCTTTTTCATACGTCACTATCTCTGATTTCCGTGTTGGATGTCGTTAGTAAATTCCCCATTATCACTCCGTCTTTGGCATCAAGTGTTTCTTCTGCACCTCCAACCTCAAATTCCTTAAGCAGTCTATAATATTCACTCTCCTACCAACTGTTTCAGCTCATCTAGCTTCAGGAAACACTTCTTTTATTAAATATCTTGAGAGTCGCATATTTTTTCTTGTTAATCGTCTATACACTAGCTTTTAGTAGGGATAGATTTGAAGTATTCAGTTTATTGTCACATAGAAGTAAGAATGAAGAGGAAATAGAAACACTTAATGCAATAAATGAGAACATATGTTTTTAAGAGGTAATATTGCAAATCAGAAGTGACTAAAATTATTTACTTTCAAAAAATTTCAACGAACTCATATTATGCATTTTGCATTTATGGTACATCTATATGAATAGTAAAATGTCATACAAGAAT